CCATTCCACCTGCTCTTAGCAGCAATGATTTTATGGGATTCTTTATAAATAAGATTGATCTTATTAAAAATAAGATCATAAGCACTCCTCTATCCGCGATTGTACCTGAGGTAGTCATGGAATCTGAACCGGGTTTAGACTGCTTTGATCCAGTTGAACTTTCTGAATTAGCAAAATTATTGTCTTCATCTAAGCCTTCAACTTGTATGTTAGATCCAGTTCCAACCAGGTTATTTAAGGAGGTATTCCCTTTGATCTCATCCTCCATTTTAGATTTGATTAATCTATCTCTGTTACAGGGATATGTACCTAAAGCTTTTAAGGTTGCTGTAATTAAACCTCTGCTTAAGAAACCGTCTCTTGACCCAGATGACTTGGTTAATTATAGACCTATATCCAATATTCCTTTCTTATCCAAAATTCTTGAGAAAGTAGTTGCCAAACAAGTTTGCGACCACTTACACCATAATGAACTTTTTGAAGAGTTTCAGTCTGGCTTTAGAGCTCATCATAGCACTGAAACAGCTCTGGTGAAAGTCACTAATGATATTCTCTTGGCCTCAGATAATGGACTTGTATCTGTGCTCGTCCTGTTAGATCTTAGTGCTGCATTTGATACAGTTGACCATAATATTCTTTTAGAAAGACTTGAATATTTTGTTGGAATTAAAGGAACAGCACTAGACTGGTTTAAATCTTATCTATCTGATCGAATTCAGTTTGTTCATGTTAATGATAGATCTTCAACACGCTCAAAGGTTACCTGTGGAGTACCACAGGGATCAGTGCTAGGACCAATTCTCTTTACTTTATACATGCTCCCAATTGGTAGAGTTATTAGACAGCATGGGATTAATTTTCACTGTTATGCTGATGATACCCAGCTATATCTGTCTATAAATCCAGATGAAGCTAACCCATTACATAGATTACAGGCATGTCTTGAAGACATAAAAACCTGGATGACTCTTAACTTTCTGCTTCTGAATGCAGACAAAACAGAAGTTATAGTCTTTGGACCAGAGTCTCTGAAAAATAAGCTGATTAGCCAGTCACTTCATTTGGATGGGATTAAACTGATTTCAGATAATAAAGTAAAAAATCTTGGTGTTATTTTTGATCAGGACCTGTCATTTAAATCCCAGATCAAAGAGGTTTCTAGAATTTCCTTCTTTCATCTGAGGAACATTGCAAAAATTAGAAATCTCCTGTCCAGGGGTGATGCTGAGAAACTAGTCCATGCATTTGTTACTTCAAGGCTGGACTATTGTAATTCTTTACTATCAGGAAGTCCACAAACTGTAGTTAAAAGCCTTCAGCTGATCCAAAATGCTGCAGCCAGAGTTCTAATGAAAATTAAAAAGAGAGATCATATCTCTCCTATCCTGGCTTCTCTTCATTGGCTTCCTGTTAAATCCAGAATAGATTTAAAATCCTCCTTCTCACATATAAAGCCTTAAATGGCCAAGCTCCATCTTATATCAGAGATCTGATTGTTCCTTATGTTCCTAACAGAGCACTTCGCTCTCAATCTGCAGGTTTACTAGTGGTTCCTAGAATTTCTAAAAGTAGAATGGGAGGCAGATCATTTAGTTATCAGGCTCCTCTCCTGTGGAACCAACTACCAGTTTTAGTCCGTGAGGCAGACACCCTGTCTACTTTTAAGGCTAGGCTTAAAACTTTCCTTTTTGATAAAGATTATAGTTAGACTGGCTCAGGTTATCCTCAGCTGTCTTTAAAGTTATGCTGCTATAGGCTTAGACTGCTGGAGGACATAGGGACCCCCATTTCATCATTCTGCTTCATTCTCTCTCTGTTCTCCTATTCTGCAGAATCTGTTTGTTGTTCAAATCGACGTTTGAATTGAGGAAACTTCCTGGAGTGGAAGCGAAACATCCTCAAACCTTGGAAACCAAGTCCAGTGGATCGTCTTTTCTAAACTTTTACCGAATGACTATGAACTGGATGACTGAGAATGTTCATCAGAGTTCAGTTTGCATGGTTTTTAAGCCATAACAACACTTTTGACGGGCATTTCTATAAAGTCTGGAACTCCACATTACTCCAGACATTTTGAATTGAGAAAGCTTTCTGGATTGGAAGCGAAACATCCTCAAATTTGGAAAATTGTCCAGTAGTTTTGTTTTTTAAATATGACTATGACCTGGATGACTGAGAATCTACACTAGTGCAGTGTCTTCACAGAGACTGGGTCACTTTACCACCACAGCAACAAGGATAGGGCTTCCCAACAGCAGAACAGCCAGCTAATGAATAAATGAATAAACTCTTTCTCTCTCTGCTATCTCTCTAAAAGAAACATGATATCCAGTCTTTCTCTTGAGAAAAGATCGTTCAGAGAATGAAATTTATTTGCAATTAAATGAACATTCATCAGGCCAACATGGTGTGTAGATGTCCTGAAGGCAGTGTCCGCATTGGGATTGGTCAAAGCCACATCAAGCGGCCCAGTGGACTCCAGCTGGTCCCTGTTGAAAAACCGGGCATAAAAACTGAAGTAGAAGATAAGGGACAAGAATATGTCCCTGGCCACAACTCCAGTGCTGTGATGAGTCTAGGATGCTTGTTGCAGTATGAGCAGGCAGCGGTGTGGACAAGCTGTCGCACACATCGTGGGTTAAGCCTGGAATGTTGTTTCAAAAGCCTCGGATCTATTTTTGGTGACGGATCTCATTTTTTTTATTTAATTTTTTTATCACCATTGAAAACGCATTGTTATCTGTTTTAATATTTGCAAGACACAGCAAAAAAGGGACATTCACTTCACGTGCCATAATTATCCTTTATAGTGGTTTCTGTGGGTTAGCCCTGCACAAGCCTGTGTGTTTGTGTGAACAGCTGTGTGCAGCCCATATTGCCTCTTTTAATAGTTCAGGAATTTGGTACACAGCCCTACCTGGGCAACACCTCCCATTATCTCATTCATTCGGGAGCCAGAGCAAGGTAAGAAATGAGACTATCAAACAATTAAAGGTTTATCTGGTTATTAGTGCTCAACCACAAAGTGGAAAAAAAAACTTATGTCCTCAGGGGCTTTATTAGTTTATTCTTAATTCTTGCTAACTCTGGTCCCTGCTATAATCCATGCTTTGTTATGCAGGAAGCAAAGATGTGGACTTCAATACAGTGAATGTGATCATGTGGAACCACCAGATTTTTATTGCGGACTGACTAGATCATGGTTTTCAACTGCTTGTATCTGTCATGATTTGGCCTGATTGCTCCACCATAATTTTTTATTTCTTTCACCTGCCATTTTCCCTCCCTGCTTTAACTATCGTCTATTTCTGACACCTGTTTCCTTTGCTTTATATTTTGTTCAGCCTAAGCTTTTAGGGGACAGATATTTTTTTATTGTTCTGTTAGTCAGTCTGTTTGGTCCTGGCGGCCAGTGGAAAGAGGGTTTTGTGTCTGTCTCGTCTCCTGCTTGTCCACTGTTCCTGCCCTGCTGAGTTCTCTGTTTTTTTTTTTATCTCTACGCGGGGAGGATCAGTTTTTATCCCCGTAAGCCTGGCTCCAAGGTGGTCACCAGTTAAAAGGTCCTGCATCAAGTTCTGGTTCCACGTCCTGTCTCGGCTACCCTCTCCACTGAGCCTGCTCATCTGCACCTGATCCTGTCTGCTCCTGTGCGTGTCCGTCTGGTCACCGTTCTGGATTCTGTCAGATTCTGAACCTACGTGGGAGCTTGTGAATGTCTGGAAGCCTGGATCCTGTCACCTGCCTGTTTTGTTTTTGTCTTTATTTCAATAAACGTTTTGAACTTTCCTACTGACTGTCTCACCTTGAATACTCTGTCCCGTTTATGACATCATCTCATTTCGCAACTTTTCCTAAAATGGATCCAGACTGTTTCTGTCTGCTTTTCCTTTTTTAGTTTGGTTAAATTGTAACTATAAGTAAGGGTCTTAGAAATTATCTAATTTGGTGGTTTTAGGATAATGTATTTTATTGTCAAATCTATTATAATTAACTCCAGTCCTGCTCAGTATAGAAACATGATAGTTTTGTTGTTGTTATTTACCATAAATATCAGCTCAATTTTCAAAAGGCAGAAGAACAGTTCAGGTGAGAGTACCACTTGGACAGTTTTACGTCATCAGTTGTCATATAACATTGGATAATAGTAGCTTCTTGTGGTTTAGGTATGAACGCAGCAGAAACAGGAAGAGACAGCAGAGACAGAGGAACAGGCCAGAATGAGGAGACAGAGATGAAACAAGAAGCTAGTAAAAGATGGTAGTTCAATAGTTCTTTGTCCACAATGTCTTGCCTTTCATGCTTTTGGGTCCTGCGATTTCGGCATTAAACGTGTTCTGCATAAGACATTTGGACTCAGGCCTACTTCTTACGTACATCCTCTCAGACAATAAATAATTGTTAATAATGTCTGAATGTGTAATAAATCTTAACAAATATGGAGAAATGCAGGAATTAATTCTTACTTTTTTGGTGTACCAAATCACCTTCATAATAATGAAATATTTTGTGGGTTAAGCTCTGGATGATGAGATTTTCTAGCTCTGCCCCTGCTCTTATGTTAATTGTGGAGTGGATGTCCCACAGTGAAAACAGACACAGTTTAAAAGCCTTAAGAAAATAACATTTAATAATTTTTATGCATACATGAATCATATTTCTTAAAGTTTTAAACATTTAATTATACACATATGTATACACAGCACATCTGTGACTGTTCAAGGTCAGTTTGTGGTTTCTAATGCTGCTGTTTTAAACTGTATTTACAAGAAGATTAAAAAGCACATGTGTTCAAGCTTATTGATGATCTTAAACAAGTTTTAGTATCATCAGGTTTATAGATTTCTCCCTGGACACATTCATTCATTAGTAGATCAACAGGTGGAAGGAGAGACAGGAGGACATGTATGAACAGTTGTATTGAGGCCTATAAACCATAATAAATGCAGCAGAGTCATAGCTATGGAATACAATGAATATAAACTGATTATATGTGTATCATATTCTATGTATTCTTTTATGTTTTTTACTGTTTATGTAGAGGTAACATGTAGCAACTGCTGTTTTCACAAAGGGACTGATTATTGCATTTTGCAATTTTTTTCCACTTGTCTAAAGAGTGGTAGAAAAGCTCTGAAGTGTTTGAACTTTCCCATCTTCTCTGCTTGTCTTCTAAATTCTTCTATAAATTTTTTCTTCATTTCTTCTTGTTCTTTTTGGTACTTTTCCTCCATTGCCCTGAGCTCCCTTTCATGCATTTCTGTTAGAATTTTTTCATCAAGCATTTTGGCTTTTTCATATTCTTCTTTAAGTTCATTCATTCTCATCTCCTCTCTCAGCTGTCTCTGTTTGTCTTCCTCTCGTCTCTTTTCCCACCACTCTCTTTGTTCTTTCACCATAGCCCTTTGTGTTTCTTCCAGTTCCCGTCTCTTCGTCTCAAGGGATCGTTCAGCTACTGCTCCTGATTTTATCATTTCATCCAAAGCTTCAATTTTTTCCTTTAACTGCTGCTTTTCCATTTCTTCTGCCACTGCCCTCCGCCTATCTTGTTCATCCCTATATTCCTGTTCTCTCTTTCTCTTCTCATATTCTCTCCCGATATTTTCCTTCATTTCCCTCAAATATTTTCTCTGCTGTTCATGATCTGCTCTCTCTTTTTCAAGTCTTCTTTCCACGTCTTCTTTTTCAGCTGCATATTTTCGTTCAAGTCCTTCCACTTCCCCTTTTATTTCTTGATCTCTCTCTTTTAGAATATTCTCCATATCTTCCTGTATGGCAGCTTCAGCCTCTTGCAGCATCTCATTGGTAAAGCAGCTTCCTCCATTTTCCTTCACCATGGTGTCTATCTTCTTAATCAGCTCTCTGACCTGCTTACGGTTGTCTGCAGCTCTATTATCAAACAAATGGTATCTTCCTCCACAGTCTTTAATTAGCCTTTTGAAAGAATCTTCACTTTCATTTTTAATGTAATGTTCAACTGTGGAACATTCTTCTTCCAATGAATCACCTCCAGTTAAAAGAACGATGGTGAATTTTTCTGAATTCTTTCCAAATATTTTCTTGATATTTTCTAATGTTTGTATCTCCTCTGATGTGAATCTTCCTATCCGTATCACCAGCAGGAAGACATGGGGTCCTGGAGCCACAAAATTAATACACCCCACCAACTCCTCCTGGATCTCTTTTGCGCTCAACCTCGTGTCAAAGAGACCTGGTGTGTCGACCACATAAACTGAACGACCATCTACTTCAGTCTTTCTTTTAAGACATTTCTTTGTGACTGATCTCTGACTTAATTTGGCTTCAAACTCCTTTCTTCCCAGGATGGTGTTTCCTGATGAGCTCTTCCCACTGCCAGTCTTCCCAATCAGAACAATTCTGATGTCTTTTGGATTCTCTATATCACCTGTGGGATAAGATATGGGAAATGTGAATAAGAATGTTATTGGGATGGTTCCCAACAGCGGATGCATCTTTCGTTTGGATATTATTTCTTCGTATTGGCTGATAAAACAGTTAACCAAGTTAAAAATATTAAATTGCAATCCTTAATTCAGAAATAAAATTAAATTAGCTTTAAAAGTGTCTTTTAAAACTCATAATACTTTTTATAATACTAATTTATTTTGTAGCAAATGTTTTAGCTAACAACCTGGCAGAAAGAAAAAAAGTTTAAAAATGAATTAATTTAAATGGCTCTTGATACATATGTTAACAACCCACAGCAGCAAAACTGAAGCAAAGTGAAAGCCTGCGATTATGGAAGCAGAGTCTGACAAAGTTTAAACTTAAAGGTGCAGTAGGAGATCTTTTCTGACACATTTTTTACCATGTGGCTTAAAGATCTCCCCACAGCCACTTAGCAAGCAGTGAAGTAGAAGGTCTGGAAGTGAAACTAAAATAAATGGTCCCCGCTACAGTGAGAAATCAATTAATAACCCCAATAATCACAAAAGATGTTCCGTTGTACACAATTGGTTCCTGACATGTCAATCATGGTTTTATGCTTGTCCTGTCTCCCTGCCAGCTCCCAGATCAGCTACGTGCTGCTTTAGCTGTTCAGACGTGCTGCAGACAGCATGCACGTTCGTGTGATTTCGAGGGGTGGTGTGAAGGGAGAGTTGTGGCATGGTTGTGTATGTTCAATAATATAGCTTGCCGGAACCGTTTTTCCAATATTTCCAACAGCACCTTTAAGTTTTGCAGAGCATAAGTTGACACTTTTTGCTTCTGCCACAGCGTCGCCTTGTAGGTGCTAATGTCTAACTACCAAATAAGGACAACCATAGAATAAACTAAAACAATTGAACATGCCCTGTGTAACATAACAATGTCAGATGGTTTTAAAACCCAGTAAGTAAAATTGCCCAAAATTTTGAGGAGACAGCAGTTTGGAATTAACACATGATGAATAGACATTATAAACACTGATAGAAATTAAGCTTCTTTGATGACACTCATAAATACATTAAAGCACAAATAAATTGGATTTAAACAGCATAAAATCTTTGTAGAAACATTTTTTAGGAGACAGAAACATGCTTTGAAGGAAAATATTTCCATTGACATGTTGTATGGAGAATTTCAGAAAATGCAGCTTGTGGGGTAACCCTCTATTGTATGTCTGATAGAATTTAAAAAGTCAAACCATTCAGATCCTGATGTTTCACACTTTCATATAAAAAAATGATTGAAAAAACAAAGTTTTCATTTTGCTCAAAAACCTGACTTGCGAGGTGAAGTCACCTAAGTGACTTTACACCATTTATGATACATTTTAAATAAATAAATTAGATGCGCATGGTAGGGATCTTACCTCTCCACTTTGACATGAAGTTTTTCCAGCTTCTGTCAGTTTTTCCCTCTTCATTCCCTCTGACAGATATTTGGTCCACTGGCTGCTGCTGAGAAACTACAGAACAAGAAAACTACTTTTAGGTGGTGCTTCAACAGGCTTAGTCGTAAAACTTCATTAAATTCATTACTTCATTAAAATTCGTAAATCACAGAGGTCATGGGACTTATAATCAATTTAAACAAGCAATAGTTATAGAGCTGCATTTTTTTTTTCAAACCAACACCTTATTACTGAAGATCAATCTTATATTTATCAGCATGCCTGCATAAAAAAAATCATTTCTAAAAAAAACAAACACCTCCATTCAGAGGACTCTAGCCCCGCTTAATGACTGAGGAAAAAGGCAGAAGTAATGTGTTTGCGAGAACGACCAAGAGCTGGATCAGTGGTTTTGTTATGGACAGCTGCTGAAGTTTTTCCAGTCAGCATTTGGACAGACAACAGGAATCTCGCCTACCTCCAGACCGCCAAGGGCCTAACCCTTATATAAATAGAATAGAAAATCCCTTTATTGTCCATCAATCAGGAATTTTAATGCATTGTTTCCTTTTTTTGCTAATCAAAAGTTTCATTGTTGTCTGTGCAAGAGAAATATTAGATTTAGTTTGGTCCGTGAGGCAGACACCCTGTCTACTTTTAAGTTTGTTAAAAGTAGACAGGGTGTAGTCTACTTTGTTTTTTTTTAAGGCCAGGCTTAAAACTTTCCTTTTTGATAAAGCTTATAGTTAGGGTGGCTCAGGTTATCCTGAGCTATCTCTATAGTTATGCTGCTATAGGCTTAGACTTCTGGAGGACATAGGGACCCCCATTTCATCATTCTGCTTCATTCTCTCTCTATCTCCTATTCTGCAGAATCTGTTAGTTCAATCTCTAACGTTCTGCTCTCTCTGCTTTTCCTCAGAGTAGCTTTGCCTCGTCTGTTCCTGTTTGGCTGTGACGGCATCCTGGAGAGAAATATCAGCTGTGCTGCTTCCATCGACACCCTTGTTTATAGATGTTGGAGATCGGCCTGTTTTCCATTGTGGTCCAGTTTCTCTGACCGTGACTGAGTGGATGTGCTCTCTTCGTCCTCTGGCATGGGGGCTGGCCCGGAGCTTGTCTGCCTGGCTGTGTGTTTCCTGGATGGGGCCGCCTTTTACAGCTGCTTTTTGTGTCTCTGCTTCTGTCTCCTTGAACCTCAGTCGGCATCGGCAGATGGCCGCTCACACTGAGCCTGGTTCTGCTGGAGGTTTCTTCCTGTTAAAAGGGAGTTTTTCCTCTCCACTGTCGCTACAAGCATGCTTAGTGTGAGGGATTGTATTTGAGTCAATGCAATAAACTGGTTTCCTTAGATAGAAAACTTTGTATCAATTTGACTGTATGATCTGGTTGAACTGTAAAGTGCCTTGAGATGACATGTGTTGTGAATTGGCGCTATATAAATAAACTGAATTGAATTGAATTACATTTTATTACAGCTGCACTTTAAGAAATAGAAATGTCTTGAGAGCTATACTGAACGAAATTTCGTTTTGTATAGATCTTGTGTGTACAAAATGACAATAAAGTTTGTCTAAGTCCATGATGTCAGGTTAATAACAGGGTTAATATTGTGTGGCCACATCAGGCACATCTGATGTTTCTCTCAGTGGTCCTCAGTGTACTCAGGGAGCTTGTGTTTATTCAATTCAATCCAAAAATACTTTATTAATCTCAAAGGGGAATTAAATGTTGCAGTAAATTATAGATAATTTTTTCAACCTGGTGTTTTCGGTGTTGATAGTAGTGGGCAGGAAGGATGTTCTCTCCAGGAAGGAAGGATCTTCTGATGTACTGTCTGTCTTGTACCGGATCTGGAGAAGCCTCTTTCTGAAGGCCCTTTGTTTTTGTTTAAAGTGGAAATGAAACAGTCAACCAAAGTAATTTAAAATGGCATTGTGTCTTATTATTATCAATAATTATTAATGGTGGGCATAGATTATATTTATAATCTAGATTAAATTTACTGTAATCTTGGAATTAATTTAGATTAGTCTAGATAAAAATGGCTCAATTAAATTCTGCCAGGCATTGATGAAATGTCTGTGCCATCTGAAAATAAAGTAAAAGTAAGTCTTTGAACAGGAAAAATGTATCATTTGAAACTGTAGCTCTAGATTGAAATATGATAAATACATGCCACAGAAGCTAAATTTTCAAAAACGGTCCCACTTTACCCACATTCACCCAAGCAATCATTAGAAGCAAACATAATGTTGTGATAAAATGAAATTTAAAATTACATAACAAAGCCTACCTAAAGCGACGGAGTGCAGGCCCCAGCTGGTTATCATTATTGACAGATCTCTAGTGGTCCCCTGATAGTGCTAAACACGTTGCCTCTACCAACTTCTCATCTTTTGCGGCTTTTTCGTCAGTGTGCTGGTCATGTATTCTCTTTATGATAGTTTGCCTCGCAGGTAATTTGTAAGATGGGTCACCTTTGACAGCCTGGAGAACAAGCCCATAATCTTCAAACACGCTGATGGCGGCAGCTTGTGGCTATCCACGGAGTAAGGAGATTGCTTAGCTTGGCTGATAGAGCTGTGCTGACGGGCTGTCCTCTCCTGTACTCAAACATTGTAGTGTGACGAACACGACTACTCCCCTGCGCTACATCAATGCTTGGCCCAGCATCTTCCACATTCGCTGAGGGATGCTTTGCGTTTAGGTGGTACTTGAGACTGGAAGAACTCCTGTAGTAAACTAATTCTACCTTGCTCAGGGTGCAAAGAACTTCAGTCTTGTTGAGGTTTTTTATTGGGAAGTCTTAAAAATAAATTTTCCCTGAAGCAAACCCGGCGGCTTTATGGCTGCATCCATGTTAGCACGTCATGTTCAATGTGGTTATTTCACAGTAGGCCTACACAGGTTGGAAGACTGATTTGTTCTTGCCCCTGGATATACATCAACACTAAAATATCAAGGTGAAAGTCATCGTAACTTGTAAGGTATAGACCCAGCTCCCAACCCAACTTTGATAATAGATTAACTGCGATATTTTTTTAATCACCCAATAATAGTCTGGTTTTAACGCAGCACATCGACACCGATTACGGCCCAGCACTAATAATTATATCACAAATGTGAAAAATATAAACGAAAAGAAAAAATATGCTTCAGCTAGGAATTGAATATATTGAATATACTGACAATACATCCCAACATTACACACTTAAGCCATTTGGTATAATGGAAGATGAAGCTGAAAGGACACTCAAGAATCCAAATCACGTTGCTTATGCTATGTAAATGAGTCCATTTACCGTGTGTCTTAAATTGTAGTAAGGAGAAAAGAGGCCATTTTGGAGCCGGGGTTCTGACTGTATTTTTCAATTGAGAATTATGCTTGATTAATCAAGGATTGCTTTTGATCACACCCAAACTGTCTACCTTATTGCTTGAGTAACAGTTAGCTTAATCATTTCCATAAATATATCTATAAATGTGTAAAATAATGTATTGTTTTGAATAAATAGCCTTGGAGTTGCAGTTGTCCACATAGAGACCAAATGCTTTCTGAAGTAAGATTTTAAGTCGGATGAAACAAATATGGACCTGTTGGATTATTATGAAAAGAATTATGTTTTGGATGGCTAACTAAGGCTTTCATACATACAGAATGGATACTTCACCTGATGTCAGGCATGGTGTTGGTAGCATCATGCTTAGTCAGATATTGAGCCAAAATTATGCTGGAAGGTTTTTCATCCATCAAAAAGGTGTGTACTTATCTTCCTTCTCTGTCTGACTCTTTTTTTTTATTAGGGTGTTTACTACCATCCTTAACTGATTTATGTCAAAACGAAAATAAAGTTATACCAAGTTTAAAATGTACTGTACCATCTAATTGACAGATTGAGAAATCTTACCTTCCCAGTTTAGGTTGCTGGGTCTCTGGTTGCTGCTTTCTGGATTCTGGGTTTTCCTTGTAGGAACTTGGACTGGCTGCTGCTGCTGCTTAGCCACTACAGGACCACAGTCATACAGAATATATGACATGTTCTGATGGGACAACTACTAAACTTTATTCATTACCTGACCAGTTACAAGGTTGTGATTTATTTACTGCATCACCTGCCATCTAAAACTAAAAATTATGCACAGTAGCATTAGAGATATTGGGAAGATATCAATATATTCCATGGTCCAAGTTTTATCATAGCTACTAAATCCTAATCCTTATTAATAATTTACTAATAAAAACTATCTTCAGCATGTGAAAGTATAATTAGAAAGATCTAGAAATGAGCAAAAATATAAACTTCGGGCGTGCAGGTGGCACAGTTGCTAGTGGGCACGACTCATATACGGAGGCCTTAGTCCTGGATGCGGCCGACCCTAGTTCGAATCCGACCGTTGGTCCTTTGCCGTATGTCTATCCCCCTCTCTAATAGCCCCTTTCCTGTAATCCTAACGTAAAAAAAAAAACGAGATGTGGCACAAAAACTAAAAAAAAAAAAAATAATAAAATAGAAACTTCTTAACTCACAGTATTGTTGAATATAGTCCAAGCTGCGACTGTGCTGCTCTGTTTGGACATTATACTCTACAACTGAAAAAGAGCAAAGAACAATAGGTCTTAATTTGCTGTGATTCCTTTAAAGTGTTACACTTTTAACAACACCAAACAATATAACGTAAAGGTTTTATTGTGGTTGTATTAACTAAAATCTCACCAGGTTCATCTACAGCAGATTCCACATTATACAGGCCTGATCCGTCTGTATAAAAACAATTTATTTTATATAATCAACATTTCCAATGTGATATTTAAAGCTTTTGTCAACAAGAACAACAAAAAAGCATCAACCAGGTATTATTTGGATTATGCTTACTTTCAATTAAAGAAAAAAAGAATTATTTTACAGCTGTAATAAATAATAGAAAACTGTTTTGCGAAACAAAAACTATACCATCTATGAACATGAATTTATAAGGCCAGGCCTGTTTAACTTTTAAAACATGTCAGAATTCCTTACAGAGAGAAGTACCTAACCTTTGAAAAATTAAAGAGTTTGTGGGAAATCA